AATTTCTTCAGTAGTCAATTCCCTAGCCCTAGCTTTTACAGAGGCAGTAAGGCCCCTAGACCCTCCCCATAGATGTTTAATCCCCTAGCCCCTGTTCCCTATACCGTCTTCGTTGACACTCAGTTCTCTTGCCCTGGACTTATCAGCTTTAAAAAGTGACTCAGTATGTCTTCCTTATGCTCTTGGCCTTGGGGCAGGGGTTAGGGTTGGGAAATGGAGCGATTAATCAAAGGAAAAAGAGAGAAGAGGAGAACATTTGTTTTATTAAGCCTTGACACCGGTGAGGGGTACTTTCACTTTGATCTTATTTTGTTGGTAGAAAGACACCTATATCCAATCACCTTGAGGGAATTCGGTTTTACTGCTACTGTTAATATCATGATTTTATTTAAAGGAAAAGTTTGGAAACACTAGGAGCTCTCAGAGACTCTGAAAATAAAATTTCTGTCTCAGATTTGAATTGGAGAAGACAGAAATAGTTGGGGGGAGGCATTAGTTCTGGGGTTCCAAAAAGAATCCCCTTCTACCCTCCAGCTCTCAGAGACAAAAGGTAGTGAAAAGGAAAGATGTGGCATAGGGTGGGGTGGGAAGGGTCTCCAGTATTCTTGTGGAAGGCTCAGGTTTCAACCTCGGACTGTGGAGCTCCTTTGGGGCTGGCTAGAGGGAGAGAAGACAGGGCAAAGAGGAAGAAAAGAAGAACAAGGCCAAGTTCTAAAGACTCCTCGCCAGAAATGTTTCCCCAGGTTTTAAGGAACGACAAAAGAGAAGAAAAAGACAAACATTTTGGGATCCTTCCCCCCCAAGAACATCAGGTCTTGTGCTCTCTTTACTGGGTCTTGTTAGTGGAATCTGGTCCTTTCTGGAGGGTGCAGGGGAGAGTTTTTAAGTGTATGTAGGGTGTAGAAGAGTGAGGCAGAAAATGGGAGATAGGAATGAAGAATGGGAAATGAACTCTAGTGTCTTTGGCAATAAAGAAGAATGGATGTTTGGGGGCTGCCCTTTCTCTGCCCCTCCCTCTCCAGTTCCCCCAGCCTTAACCTCTTTCAGCCCCCCTTCAGCTCTCATTCATTCTCTTTTCTACTTTGCCCCAAGCGGGAAAAGGCATAGTTGTGCTCCTGAAACCAGAGAAGGAAACAGAGATACAAAGAGAACTTACTCCCCTCCTTCCCTCCTCCCCCCTCAAAAAAAAAAATGATGAAGAAGAGCAGAGACACAAGGAAACAGAGACAGAAGTGCACACAGAAACAGAAAGACCTAGAAAATTCTGTGCAGTTTTGGATTACCTCTAACATGTGATGGAAGAGCAGATCGAACATGCAGGCTCCAGGGCCCCTGAGTTAGATCAGCCTTTTATCTTGCAAGGGACTTAAATTCTAGGGGATAATTTGGAGGGCTCTACAGACAAATTTGGTAAATTTGCTTTACATAATAAGAGTTCTTCAACAGACAGGCAGATGGATGGGTAGATAGATGTTCAAGTAGTTAGGAATCAATATCTACCACTACCAAATGATAGATAATTAACATCTTTATAAGATGTATTTTTAAAAAACACTGCTTTTATTTTTATACCTTCATTTCCTAATTTATTCACCCTGCTATTCTTTACCTGGGGAGGAATTGCTTGTAGCAATCAAATCAACAACCTGTGAAACCAGAAGTTCTGCCCCACATTTGTGTATATCTCTAGTTAGAGCCTCTTGGCCTGTTTCAACCTTTATCTCTGTTTTCTCTCTGGTCTTCATTCTCAGGGTCTCAACCTGAATCTCTTTTACTGCCTCTATTCAGTTCAGTTCAACTGGCATTTATTAGCACCCACTCTGGGCCAGGCACTGTTAGGCTCCAGGGATACAAAAACAAAAGAAATAATGCCTGACCTCAGGGAACTTATGTTTTACTGGGGAGGAGGTGAGGCCAATGTGCACACAGAGAAATAAATATTAAAAAAGTTATACAAAGTATCTCTCTCTAGTCCGATCTAATCTCCTGTCTCTCTGGATCTGTGTCTGACTAGCAGAAACGTTTTATGGCTGCGGTGTGTGCGTGTGTGTGTGTGTGTGTGTGTGTGTGTGTTGTAGAGGTCCAGCTAACCAATTCCTTTCGGTTTGATCTTGTCTAGTCTTCCTTCTCGAATCTCCCGGGAAGCTCAGCCCGTTGCTGCGCCAGGCCCCAGAAGCGTGCGGTGCGTTCAAGGCGGGCGGGCCCGCATGAGTCCCAGTCAGACGAATTCAACTGAGAATTTGGATCTTCGGCAAGGGGCCGGCGGTAGGCAGGTGTGTACCTGTGTAAGGGGGAAGCTGCTGCTGGTGTGTGTGTTTATGTGTATGTATGCGTGTGTGTGTGTGTGTGTGTGTGTACGTGTGTGAGTTCGCGTGAATGCGTGAGGGTAAACATCCCCAAACAGACCTAACCACAATGGAGTGAAGGAGTTAGACCAAAAGCCAGTAGACCTGTCTTTTAAGTCCGGGCACTTGACTGCC